CGAGACGGTGCTCAATCACCTCCCTGGGGACCCCGGGCATATCCGCCGGTCTCCATGCGAAGACGTCAGCGTTTGCCCGCAGGAAGGAGACGAGCGCGTCTTCCTATTTGCCGTCCAAAAGACCACCGATTCGCGTGGTCTTGGACGGGCCGTCGCCCAGTGTGACCTCCTTGACGGGGACCTCGGCGCATGTGACAATCCGCTGCCTCGGGGCAGTGGGGGCGGAGGTGCCAAGCCTCTCGTCACCACCCTCGGGCTTAGACGCAGCAGCGAGGTGGTCCGCGCGCTGCTCCATGCAAGCAAGCGCGACTTTCAGGTCGCCATGGACAGAGATGGGGCCACCGGGGCCCGGCATCTTCATCTGGAGGTAGGCGTAGTGGACAGCCGCCATGAACTTCACCAACGCGGGCCTCCCCAGGACCGCGTTGTAGGGCAGACTGAGGTCCGCCACATCGAAGTTTACCCGCTCCGTGCGGAAATTGGTGGGTCCACCAAAGGTGACCGGGAGGTCGATATGACCTAGCGGCCAAGTGTGCCCCGGCGTCACACCGATAATCGGTTGGGACGGCTGGAGCACCATCCCCGGGGCCTTGATGGCATCAAAAGCCGCGGGGGAAATGATGTTGAGGGCCGCTCCCCCATCTATGAGGACACGCCCCAACTTCACGTTGCAGATGGTGGGGGAAACCACCATCGCAATCTGCCCTCCCCGGGCGACGCACGGTGGGTGGTCGGTCTGGTCGAAAGTGAGGGCAACCTCCGACCACCGCGCCCGGCGCGTCGCCTCATGAGTAGGGGCCGCGGCCAGAAGCTCTCGCTTCATGGCCTTGAGGCTCCGGCGAGAGACGTGAGCACACGCTCCCCCATCGACAGTGGCAATGGTGGCCCCAGGTTCTTGGAAACCTAGGTCATCATCGTCATCATCGATGTCCTCGGCGGGGGCCTTCTGCTTGGCCTCACTTCGCCGACGGCCGGAAGGAACCGCCGGGGACTTGCCTTCCCGGCGCTCCTGCCTCCTCTCCTCCTCCCACTTCCTTGTTCGCTCAGCCAAGCTTTTGACTGCGCGACAGTCCGCAAGGTCATGGAGGGAGGTATTGTGGACGGTGCACCACTTGCCGGTAGGGCGCTCCCTGCTGGGGACGCTGGCCTCCTTCTTTTTGTCGCTCGCAGGCCTCCCCTTTCGGGTGGCCCGTGAAGTGCCCTCGACGGCGAGGACATGACCCTCGTCGTCGGAACGGACTGACCTCTTCTTCCTCCTCCTGTCACGCCGTCCTGGCTGAGCGGCGGATCCGGGGGCGGCCGAGGCTGCCACTCCGGAACCGGAGGGGTTCCAAGTCCAGGCCTCCTCCTTGCGAGCCACTCGGTCCGCGAGCTGAAAAAGCTCTGCGGTGGTCTGGGGCTCTTTTGAGGCGATCTTTTCGAGCATGCGGTTGTGCCGCACACCCCCCCTGAACGCGTAGATTACTGCGTGTGCAGGGATGCATGGTATGGTATTGCGGACTTGACAAAACCGCTGAATGTACGATCGAAGCGACTCATCGTCCCTTCGCTGTACAGCGTGCAAGTCCGCTTCCTCACCGGGGCGCGGATACGTGCCTTGGAAGTTCATGGTGAACTGCTGGCACAAATCCTCCCAGGAGTGGACAGACGCGGGTGGCAAGTTCATTAGCCAACCCCGTGCTTGCCCCTTCAGGGCCATGGGAAAGAAATTCGCCATGACCCTGTCGTCACCCCCGGCGGCCTCAATCCCGGTCGTGTAGACCTGGAGAAACTCGGCGGGGTTGACGCTGCCATCATATTTTTCGGCGATGGTGGGCCGGAACCTTGGGGGCCAACGGACATTCCGAAGACTCGCCACGAAGGCTCTACAGCCAACACCACCAACCGGGGGCACGGAGGGCTGATTCCCGCGTCCGTGTCGAGGTGACACTCTGGACGAGGAAGCGCCTTCCATCGCGTGGGCAGCACTTCGGTCATTACGCCGGCGCTCGAGGCTGGCGCGGGCGTCCTGCTCCCTACGCAGATCTTCTCGGGTCGAAGGAGTCGATGAGGGAGTGGCTACCGAACGGCGAACAGCGGCCGCCGCTCGTCGTGCCCTTCGTCTTGACGACGCGGAGCCAGTGGTAGCAGCACCAGAGGTCTTGGTGGCGGAGGACCGCCCACCAACATCTAGGCGCTGCCGCGCCGTCATGACCAATTTGGCCACGTCGTCCAGCCATCGTTGGGCTGGAGATTCCGGGTCAGGGACGACAGGTGGGTGGCGTAAGAGCGCGCCCGCAGCTTGGAGCGCACCCTGGGGCGTGCTGCCGTCGCCGTAGACGAGGAGGCGACGCTCCCCATCTCGCCGTTCTCCTCCATCGCCCGCGATCGGTGAAACCGCGGATCTTTCGACCCTTTCGAGCGCCTCCCCCTGCTTAGGACTTTGGCGAGGAGGGGGCGGTGGAGTACGAGCTCGACGGCGTGGATTCGGCTCCCCGTCGTCGCCACTCACACTGGGAGAGAGGTCGGGTGCCTTTGCTTGCTCAGCCATGAGGCTGATCAAGAAAAGCTTGACGCACCCGGAAAAGTGCCAGAGCTCAGAAAACACACGCTGAGCCCCCTACCTGGCGCGCCAGATGACGGAGCTCGTGGCCCCTCACCGGGAGGCCGCACAGGCCCCCCTTTGCCGGTTCGGCCGGGGGCTCAGGGTGAGATCTCAAGCTCTCTCGGTACGTGGAAAGATCGCCACCTCTCAAGAACGCGAGACACGGGCGATGTATACAGGTTCGGGCCGCTGAGAAGCGTAATACCCTACTCCTGTGTTTTTGGTGGATCTGTGTATGAAGGAGCTACAAAGTGCGAGCCGACCTCTCCTTTGTTCTAAACTCTGAATCTTCAGAGAATCAACCCCCCACCACCTATGGCAAGGTCCTCCTTTTATACTTCAAGGGGATACCACATGCACCCCTCCCTTTCCAAACTGGACTTTTCTTCTTTTCATAAATGGACGGAGATTTGCACGGTCGTCCTCCGAACATCCTTCTGATGGGACGGCACATACCTACCTCCACTTCTGACTGAGGCGGGCACGTTGCGGGAAGGCGGCTGTGTACTGACGGCATGAGCAGTGTCAGACCGGTCACAAATCGGTCATTCTTGTCCACCACACGCCGGCTCAGCAACGTGCATGTTTGCCCTTTTTCAAACAACATCTTGCTTGTAATGGTTAGGATGAAGCCTGGCATATATCGATCGGGGCTAACGTGTCATCTCTGGGACGTAACACGCTAGCTCCAGCCGGGGACGAGTGCCTAGGAGCTCTCGTCTAGACAGGATGGGGCGAAGCATGCGTCTGACCGCCTGTCGCCACCTAACCCGCGATTTGACCGGTCTGTGACTGGTCACAGACCGGATAATCGAGTGCACTGCACTGCATTTCGTGCGGCGTGACACGCTTAGCCGTGGTGCAATAAATGCGGTTAGGTGAGCCCCGCTGTGCTCACCTAACCCATACACGTGGAGTAAAAAACGCGAGGGGTCGGGGCGCCTCAGCCCTCGGGGGCGAGGCTGGAGTGGCCCGACCCCCCCCCCCCCCCTCGGGAAGACCAAGAGGTGGGCGCACACATCACCCTCGGGCCCGACGTCCCCCGAGGGTGCCAGGCCACGTGGGCGATTGTGTCTGCCTCAAGCCTCGAGTCATGATACTCCCGGTCCCATGTCACCGACATAGTGAAATGACAAGCTTCTTTAGTTGTTTGCTACGTTTTTTTTGTGTATATGGTATCTGTTACAGTCGCCAAAGGACTATTTGAAATTATATATAAGATGTTAAACCCACGACTCAAAATTTATTATAGATAATGATCAAATCCATTCCATATAAAAATACCTCAAGAACAATAAAACCATCAAGTGAACAATAAAACAACGTTAGATATTCTCAGCTAAGAAAATTACTCATTCCATCAAGTAGGTTTCTTTGTCAAACGCTTGACCGTCCACCTTATTTAAAATTTTTATATGATTAGTATTTTGTTTGTTTATTAGATGATAAAATATGAATATTTTTAATTTTAAAAGAGCAACCTAGGTAGCAATCTATAGCTTTAGGGCACGTTGCTTATTGGGAAAACGGTTCTTCTGTTTCTTTAGAAAGGAGCATTACGCGTATGATCGTAATGTAGATGAGGGGAATGGATAGATGGATGCGCTTTCAGTAATAAAAAAATATTAGATGATAAAATATGAAAAATATTTTATGCGTGACTTATTTTTTATAATTTTTTTTTCGTAATTTTTGATATAAGACCGATACACAGAAACCTAACCGCTGTGCACGTAGCAAAAATCCACTTCTTCTAGAGACTACCCAGGTTATATATATCCCAGCCATCCATCTCCTTCGTCCTAATCCCCTTCCTCACCCCATCACATCTCACGCGGTGGCTTACCTTGGCCCCTATCTAATGTACTGTACTACCCCTCTATTTCAAAATGTTTAACGCAGTTGACTTTTTAGCATATATTTGACCGTTCGTCTTATTAAAAAAAATTGTGAAATATGTAAAACTATATGTGTACTTGAAAGTATATTTAACAATGAATCAAATAATATGAAAAGAATAAATAATTACTTAAATTTTTTAATAAGACGAATGGTCAAACATGTACTAAAAAGTCAACGGTATCAAATATTTTGAAACGGAGGGAGTACTTTCGTTTCAGCCGGTTCCCAACATGATCAGTATACACGAAAAGTGAAACGGTCTATTAGCACGAATTTTCTCTATCCAGATTTATTTTATTAGATTATGTTTCATCCAAGTTCTAGGGACAAGTTCTAGTATGCACGAATTTCATCCAAGTTCTAGGTTGAGTTTTATTAGGACGAAGAGAGTAATCAGTATTAGCTATTTTTTAAAGCAACTTTCATATAGAAATATTTAGTGAAAAAAAACATCGTTTAGCTGTTTAAAAAACATACACGTCAAAATGAAAGAGGAGAGTTGGGAAATCAGAGTGCCGAACACATCCTAATCACCCATTCCGCACCACCGTCACTGTCATCCCATCCTCCTTCCTCTCCTCACCTTCCTATTATCCTTTCCGGATCGAGCTTTGCCTTCCTTCTCCTACGCGCCTCGCCATCGCCGCACGGCGCAAAAAGGCAAGCAAAGGCGAACGCGCCGCCCGTGCGCCTCCCCTCCCATCCACACGTTTCGCTCTCCTCCTCTTCCGATCCGTAGCGGCGGCAGCGGCAGCGGCAGCAGCAGCAGCCGCCGACACGCGGGGGGCGGAGCAGAGCTCGCGGAACCCTACCTCTTGAGGCTTCTTATCTGCTTCAGCCGAGAGGTCTAGTAATCCCGGGTTCTGATGGCTGGTTGTGGTTTGTTGTGTTTGTGTTTGTGTGATCTGAGTTGGGTTTGGTTTGGTTTTGGTTTGCGTGTGTGCAGGGGGGGCGAGGCGGCGATGGCGGCGGCCGTGCGGGACGGAGCGGCGGTGGCGGGGTACATGGCGGAGGATGACCCTGACGGGGCGGCTTCGGAAGACGGCGATATGGACGTGGAGGTGGGCGGCGAGGAGTCGCAGGCGCGCGACGGCGACAGGAGGGACGGCGGCGACGGCGACGACGAGTACGCGCTGGTCGGTAACGCCTTCCTTGCTGCTGGTGGTGGCTGCCTTGGTGGTTTTCGTGCCGCGAATCTGAGCCGCCGCCGTGTCACTGTTCTGGCTTGGTTCTCGTTTGATTTGTCTGAGGGTTCCATTCCTTCTTTTTTTTTTCATTTTTTTTAACCTTCGAGATTGGGTTACGTTTGGTGGGTAGCATGTCGCGATAAGCGTCGGAGCTTAGTATCTAGGGTTGTTCATGGACACAGGATAGCCTTCTGCTCCGAATCAGGTCCCTGCTGATCGCTATCATAGGTATACAGGGTTAGTTTTCTAATGTTTTGCAGTGCTGCTGCTAGGATGCATCGTGTGGAAAAGGACACATAGGAAATAAGTTAAAAAATTAAGCAGTTGATTGTTTTGTTATGACAAAGTAGAAAAGGCTAAGTTGGCATCTATAAACAGTTATTATATATGATAAGTGGGGAATTTACTTAGTCAAAAACACATCGATTGCACGGGGAGCCTTAGTGCAGTGATGTACTCTAAACAAGTGTATGTGTAATTAATTTTAGTTGATTAATAGGGCAGATCTGCATTTGGACAATTTTTCCCATTTAGTCCTTGGTTGCTGAATTCTTTTCGTTAACTAGAGACTTCATGTCAACGGTGTTTGTGGAGTAGATTTTTTCTGCCCAATCATGCAGCTCTAGATTGCTACCTAGGTTGTGCTTATCTTCAGCCAATAATGGCATGGCATACCATTCTCTCTGTTAGGTCGTTTTCATAAAAGGGGTATAGTGCATAGTTTTTCTATGCCCATCTTGGCCCGGCGTTGTGGATGCATTGTTTTTCAGTGCCTTTTGAATTGGCTAAGACCAATGAGTATCAAATATGGTTTTCTACCAGGAAATAGGACTCATGTCTTGTTCTTGTTGATCAAAGTTAGATCAGTTCACCTATTCAATTAATTGCCGACTCAGCTGGGCCCGTCTTTTGGCATATGTGATAACTGATAGTGCCCATGTGGGTCAACATGCCTATCTAATTGCCAGATCACAGGATGCTGGAGAATCGGATGCAACAGCTTGTCAAGGATAAAGATTATCTGTTTTGTTCAAACTTCTTGTGTTTTCCTTTGGTCTTTTCTGTACTGTGAAATCCGAACAGAAGCATGATGAGTTTGCTTCAATCTTTAGGATTATTCAGATGTGATTGTTCATTAAATGGTCTTGTGCATATGAAATAAAAATAGGTTGAAACAAAGTGTTTTTTTTTCTGTGCAGCTCACTAGGATAACTGATACATCAGCAGCTGAAGCAAGAGCAGGAAAGGATATACAAGGTATACCATGGGAGAGGTTACAAATAACCAGGAGCGATTACAGAAAAGCTAGGTTGGTACAGTACAAAAACTACGAAAACTTCCCTCAATCAGGAGAGCTCATGGATAAGGTCTCTATTATCATGAAATTTTATCTATCAATGTTTGTTTTTTTTGCTCTATGGATGTTCCAAATTCCTGAAAAAAAATGCATCTTACATTTTTCAGATATGCAAGCAAGTGGATAAGATCAGCAAGTATTATGAATTTCACTACAACACTAGATTAGTGAAGCCATCAATCCTCCACTTTCAGGTGAGTTGCATTCTTTCTTAGCTGACAAATACTCCTTTTTATCAATCCTCCACTAGATTAATGCGGGATAAGCTATTTTTCTTAGCTGTTAGCATTAGTTGTGTATCATCGGAGTTGTTACACCTCATTTACTTGTCTTACGTATGTGGCCATGTCAATAAGAACTACAAAGATAAAAAATGTTGTATGATCATTAGGGAAAGGGAACCTTTAACAAATTGTGAAATTGGCCTCTAAACAAGAAAACTACTGTTCCAGAGCATAGAATTAGTTCAATTGTTTTGCAGGATTCTGGTTCAGTTATGTTGGTAAAAAGGTTTTGGGATATTTCAAAGGGAATGCTGTAGTGGCTAAATACTTGGATGTTTTCATGGAACTGTTAAACACATGAAATCATGGCTTACACAATCTTGCCAGTGAAAAATTAAGTTTAAAGTTCTTCATACAAGCGAATTTTGAACTATGACTGGATATAATCAATGATGCAAACTTAAACACTTTTGCCTTGATGTCTTCATTATTATGAGGTCCATTCTTCTTTATAGCAGCTATCTGAATTTGTCTTGTCATATGAGTCCCAAGGCTGCTCAGTACTGACGAACTGCTTCTGTAGCTTAGGAATTTGTTATGGGCAACGTCGAAGCATGATGTCTACTTCATGTCAAATTCCACAGTAGGCCACTGGTCATCATTGTCTCACAATCTATCAGAGGTTCTTGATTTCTCCGGGCATGTTGCTCCTGCGCAGGTTTTCTTCTTTTTCATTTCCTGCTTGTGTTTATTTGAACTAAAGATCTTTTTTTTATTAGTGATGTTTCTCCCAAGTTCAATTACTCTTGTTTTTTTATGTAAAATTATTCTGAAATTAATGTTGTCACACAGAAACACCCTGGCAGTTTACTGGAAGGGTTTAGCGGGGTTCAAGTTAGCACACTTTCAGTGAATGAGGGTTTATTGGTTGCTGGTGGTTTTCAGGGAGAACTAATTTGCAAGGTAAGGTGCTGTTTCCCCTACTTTTGCTTTATAATAAGTACCTGCTTTAATGAAAAAAAAGCAAGCCATGAGTATCATCAGGCTTACATGCTCAGTATTTGCCAGTCTTGCTACAGGTTTGGGGATCCTTTACCTTTTCTTAATAAAAGAGGCAACCATGAATATTGTTTTTTTAAATAGAAAAGGCAAACCTTAAATATCAGGTTTACGTGCTCAATATTTTTTATCTTTGTACAGGTTGTGGGAGACCGTGATGTTAAGTTCTGCACAAGGACAACTTTAAGCGACAATGCTATCACAAATGCGATAGATATACACAGATCTGCAAGGTAAAAATATACCAGCTTAAATCTTTGGCTGAAGATGTACCTATCATTACAGAAATCTAAAGCCCTAAAATTGTCCATGTAGTGGAAGCTTGCGTGTTACCGTGTCCAACAATGATTGTGGTGTTCGTGAATTTGACATGGAAACATTTCAGCTCTTGAACCACTTCAGTTATAACTGGCCAGTAAATGTAAGTCATCTCTCTTCAATATCCACACAACGCTTTTATGTCCAGCCATCCTTGTTTGACTTCCTTACTACTCCTATGCAGCACACATCTGTGAGCCCTGATAGGAAACTTCTGGCAGTAGTTGGAGATGATCGGGATGCTCTTCTTGTTGATTCAAGAAATGGAAAGGTAAATGGCTAACATGTGCTCAGTCTCACATCGTCTGGCCTCAGTGGCGAAGCCACGGGGGGTGCCGGGGAGGGCCTGACACCTACGTTACCCTGATAGGCTGATACGGATACGCGATACGGCGATACCGGGATACACCGTCTTCTAAAAAACATGGATACGGGGATACGCGTGTATATATATATATATAATTAAAAATACAAAATAAATTAAGTGTGGAATATGGACTGAAAAATTAGGCAGCACAACAGCATCAAACCACCAATGCACCGATCATCATATATATGATATATATCTCAGTACGACATATTCACAGCATCTCACCATTCACTGAAGAGGCATGCATAAATAAGTGCAAGACTACACAGTAGATGAAATCATGAAAATAACATAGTTCTTCAAATAGATGGTAGACAACATTTTTCACATAGTAGATAAACCAATAGTAGAACATAACCACAGTGCTAAACTAATTAGAATTAACTTGTCCATGACTTCAAATTCAACTCAATAACTAGATAGCAAGACTAGATAAATTGATTGTTGATTTCATCCATTGGAACCGAAGTGGATGAAGGCCCATCACCTTATATGTCCAATGCACCAAGATCTAGCAGTCTCTCAGGGTCAGGCTCATCAAGTGACAGTTCTAGCAGTCTCGATGCATCAAAATCCATTGAATCTATCAAAGACGACAGCAATTGTACTAAGAAAAAGGGAACTGGAACACTATGCACGATGCAGATCAAACTTGGAGGGGATTTTCATTTACCTCAAGTCCTCAATGTCATCGGAGGCTGGGATCGAAGGAAGACAACGGCACTGGGCGCCGGTCGAAGCGGACAGCGGAGGACGGATCAGAGACGGCGGCAAGGCAACGCAGCGACGGTGTAGGCGGCGGCGCTGCGATGGGGATTGGGGTAGTGAGGAGAGAGGGGCAGTGTGAGTTGTGAGAGCGAGGGGCGGCGCGGGTGGAGGGGGAGAGAGATGCGGTTTTGTTCCTACGCGATTTAGGGCTCCCCCGTATCAGGTCCGCATCCCACCGTATCGGAAGAGTATCGGTGTTTATTTTAATTATCTGAAAAAGAGAAAAAAGAGGGATACGTACGGGATACCTATCCGGACGTATCTCACATGTATCCGCAGCCTGCCACCCCTCATCCTCTGATCGAAACCGCCCCCCCCCCCTCCCCCCTCAATCTCTCTCTCGATAAATAATTAACAGATGCAGGAGTATATCAGTAGCTAGCAACTCACTAAGTCCGCATGCATATGTGTAGCTGAATGCATATGCATGGCTCTAGCTGGGAGCATCGATCAGCACTCACTAACTCCCGCATGCAGCTGGGCGAAGCTTTTGATGTGATGTGACCAATTAACAAGATGAAGTCTTCAAATTAAAGAAGTAATTGAGATGTTTTGTAGTGTATCAAATCTCAGTTCTAGTATAGACGAACTACATAAATTGTGTTTAAGTCTCTCTTGCATGATTCAACTATGCAATTCTTAGGGTACGTTCGATTCAGTTATTGGAAGTATATTTCTAGCGGCAGCGTATGATTAATTAGGTATTAATTATTAGAAACTTATAAAATAGATTAACAAACTTCTATTAAAAAACTTTTGCACAAACAATTTATTTAACCGTTTGGGTAGTAGCTAATGAAAAAGGAGAAGTTGCCCAAAACAACTCAGCCTTACTAAAGAGGTGGATGGATGGGGATAAACCGCCTAGACGCTCACACAAGGTCGATTCCGAGGCCACCATTTGTTGGGGGTGAAAACTGATCATGCATACAGTACATTGTTTACCAAGCAGCAATAAGCTTTCTTCTAGATACATTGACCTTATGGTTGGCCCCTCTAATATATAAATCCTGGCTTCGCCACTGTCTGGCCTAGTCTCAATTCTCAACCATTATTGTTAGATATTCATTGTAGATATTAATTATTCTCCCCCCGTTGAAAATTCAAAAAAAGATATTAATTATTCTGTTTTGTTTCGTTTTAACTTGGACAAACCCTGTCTCTCCATGCTTATTAGTGTAGCACATTGGACTGCTAGGGTCTTACCCTTTTCTTGACAAGTCACAGGCATTTTGCTTCCATGACCTATAACAAAATTATGCAGTATATGAACTTCTTCAAGAGAGATTGATTTTCTTTATTTGAGAATTGTTCCGTTCTGGTGTTTATCTGGATAGTGACATTGAACGCTGAATCCTTCTCTTCAGGTAACCTCTACCCTAGTTGGCCATCTGGACTATTCGTTTGCTTCGGCATGGCACCCTGATGGCCGCACCTTCGCAACCGGTAACCAAGACAAGACCTGCCGCGTCTGGGACGTACGAAACCTGTCAACCTCCCTCTCAGTACTTAGGGGCAACATTGGCGCTATCCGTTGCATCCGCTACTCCTCGGATGGCCAGTTCATGCTCTTCTCGGAGCCCGCTGACTTCGTGCACGTCTACAGCGCCGCTGCGGACTACAAGAAGAGGCAGGAGATAGATTTCTTCGGCGAGATCTCCGGCATCTCGCTTAGCCCAGACGACGAGTCACTGTTCGTCGGAGTGTGCGACCGTGTGTACGCCAGCTTGCTGCACTACAGAATGGTCCACTCCTTTGGATACCTCGACTCGTTCATGTAGAGAGGGAATAAAAGTGGTGTTTCTGTATGTGATAGGCCACCCATCTCGGTGGCGATTCTGATGTGCGTGTTCAGGGAATGTATCTGCCTGTTCAAGTGCATGTTTAGTCAAAGGCTCAAGCGTGCAGCGTGATCCTTGCCTTGTGAATAGTTAGCTAGTAAATCATAGACTGTATGGACCAATACTCTCTCTGGGCAATAATGCAGAAGTAATCTATATCTTCGGTTGTTGGTTCTAGTGTTCTACCCAACTGAGCGCCAAAGATGCTGAAAATTTCGAGCTGATGCGTGATAATTGCACTGTTCTTTTGACAACTTGAGAGTTGAGATAATAAGTGTAGTAAATCCTAAATCTATTTTATTACTTAATTACGGTTAAGTTCTATCATCTGGATTATAGTTTTTCATGCTAACTGCTGGGAGAGAAAAAAAGGTTGTACGCTGTTTAATTGTGTTAAAAGTGTGTTTGAGAAGAGGGGAGAAGAGAGGACTGAGAAGAATAAGAGTATTTTGTGTCTGAAAAATATGGATCAATAATGTTATTAACTACTAGTATAATTTTACTTCTTGACAAAAAACAAAGAGTGTTAACTACTAGTATAATTTTAGGGCTACTTTGAATCGTAGGAATGAAAAAGGAGGAATAGGAAAAACATAGGATTCTGACAGGAATGTGTTTGTAAAACAGAGAATTGCAAAACATAGGAAAAACACAGGAATGATCGTTTGATTGGACCACAGGAAAAACACAGGAATCGGATGAGAGAGATAGACTCAAAGGATTTTTACCAAGAGGTTGGACCTCTTGCTAAGTTTCCTTCAAAACCTATATGCAATATGCAACAAGCCATTCCATCGGAATTTTGTAGGATTTGGAAAACTTCAATCCTTTAAATCAAAGGGTTACATAGAAAAATTTCCTGTAGGATTTCAATTCTATGAAATTCTTTCATAATTCCTTTGATTCAAAGGGGCTCTTACTTCTCGACGAAAAACAAAGAGTTAGGCCTCCTTTGAATTGGAGGAAAAATGGAGGAAAAACAAAGGAATTGAAATCCTACACTATTCATGTCTTTGATTCGTAGGAACGAGAAAAGGAAAAACGTAGGAAACTTTCCTATTCCTACAATTCTAGAGCAAAAACGTAGGAAAGTTAACATCCACTCTAACCTCGGAAAACTTTCCTTGAGTCTATCTCTCATGTGATTCCTGCATTTTTCCTGCGGTCTAATCAAACGGTCATTCCTATATTTTTCCTATGTTTTGTAATCCTCTGTTTTACACTTGCAATCCTACCAAAATCTCGTGTTTTTCCTATTCCTCCGTTTTTTCAATCCTACAATTCAAATGGGCCCTTAGTATAAATCAAATCCAAATCTACCCAAAATTGTCCGTGAAATCTGCTAAACCTGTGGTGTTAAATCTGGCTGGTTGCCTGTCTTCCATAAGAGGAGAGATCTGGAGCGTCGCTATCTCATCCAACGGTCACTTGGTGCCCCTCCCTGTCCTGTTACGCTTGACTACTCTCGTTGCCACGTCACTAAGCACAGCCTCATCCTCTTCTTCCCCGCGCGGACGAAAAATCGCGCCGCTCTCCGGCGCAAAACTGCAGCGAGGCGAGCTCGCCCTCGCCTCCGGCTACTCCGAGCCGCGCCGCAATGGCCGCCGCGCCGGTGGCCTCCCCATTCCCGGCGCTTCCCTCCTCCTCCTCCTCCACCACCATCGCGGCCTCCACCGCCGCGCGCCGGTGCCACGACGCGCTGCTCCCACCGCCAGCCGCCGCGGGGCGCGAGCCGGCTCGCACCAGGGGATCCTCCTCCTCCTTGGCTGGCGCCGCGGGGGAGAGGAGGAGGCGGCGAGGCGAGGAGGATGGCGGCGAGGTCGAGGCCGAGGCGGAGCGGCGGCGAAAGGAGGAAGTGAACCGTAAGATCGCGTCCCGGAAGGCGCTCTCCGTCATCCTCCGCCGCGAGGCCACCAAGGCCGTCCTCGACAAGCGCAAGCCCGGCAAGGGCACCCGCCGCCTCCTCCCCCGCACCGTCCTCGAGGCCCTCCACGAGCGCATCACCGCCCTCCGCTGGGACTCCGCCCTCAAGGTCCTCACCCTCACCACTGCCTCCATCCCATCATAGCCTATACCCGTGTCTCCCGCTAACCTCGCCGTGTCCATTGCCGACCAGGTGTTCGATCTAATGCGCGACCAGGTGTGGTACAGGCCGTACGTCGGGATATACGTCAAGCTGATCACCATGCTGGGCAAGTGCAAGCAGCCGGAGAGGGCGCACGAGCTGTTCCAGGCCATGGTGGACGAAGGCTGCGCTCCCAACCTCGAGTCCTACACGGCCCTCGTCTCCGCGTACAGCAGGAGTGGCCGCTTCGACAGGGCCTTCTCCTTGCTCGAGCAGATGAAGGCCACCCCTGGTTGCCGACCTGATGTGCAGACCTACTCCATTCTCATCAAGTCATGCTTGCACGCCTATGATTTTGAGCGGGTCAAGTATTTGATGGAAGATATGGCGCGGGCGGGTATCCGTCCCAATGTCGTGACTTATAACACATTAATTGATGCCTATGGGAAAGCAGGAAGGTAATTGATAGTAAAATTCATGCTTTAAAATATGAACATGCCTTTCTCATATTTGATACAAATAACTATTGAAAATGCGATTAACTTTATGCGGAGAACTTCAGAGAATCTTAATTTCAAGAACAGCCAGAATTTGAATATTACCGTAATTGAAATGCATTTCTGATTCTTTCCAAATCTGTAGTTACTCCTGATGCGATTTCATTGAACTAATGATGCTTTATGATTAAGGTTTGCTGAGATGGAATCAACTCTTCTGGAGATGCTGACTGAAAATTGCAAGCCTGATGTATGGACAATGAATTCTACTCTCAGAGCTTTCGGTGGCAGTGGTCAAATTGAAACTATGGAAAGCTGTTATGAGAAGTTCCAGGCCTCCGGTATCTCCCCAAACATTAAGACTTACAATATTTTACTTGATTCCTATGGTAAAGCTAAAATGTATGAGAAGATGGGAGCTGTGATGGAATACATGCAGAAGTATTACTATTCTTGGACAATAGTCACATACAATGTAGTTATTGATGCATTTGGAAGGGCTGGGGACCTTGAACAGATGGAATATATTTTTAGATTGATGAAATCTGAGCGTATAAAGCCCAACTGTGTTACACTCTGCTCGTTGGTTCGAGCATATGGAAGGGCTGGGGATGTTAAGAAAATAAAGACAGTGTTGAGAATCGTTGAGAATTCTGACATAACGTTGGATATTGTGTTCTTCAACTGTTTGGTGGACGCGTTTGGGAGGGTGGGGTGCTTGGCGGAGATGTGGGATGTTCTTGATATAATGAAATTACAACGATGCAAACCAGACAAGGTAACCTGCACTACCATGATTAAATGGTTTCTCATCAAAGGAATTGATGATCATCGTGTTCAGTACCTACGGGACTTAAAAGACGGGCGATCTAAAGATAACATATAGGCACTAACACTAAGCAGACAATGTCAGAACTTCAGTTTGCAAGATGGAACAACCTGTCAGAACACTAAGCAGACAATGGTGATATTTGTTCTCCGTAATTTTCCAAGAAAGATGGAACAACCTGTAAGAACTCCAGTTAGCAGAGACACATCAATCTTAGCCTGCTCTTTGTAGGTAGCTTCATTGTTACTTATTCAACATGTAATGTACACAACACAACAATGAAAGTTTGTTTTACGATCTTAACAATGGAGCTATTTGACTGCATCTGGCAAAACTGCCTATGGTTATGGCATCCCATAAATGAATTATGTCTTGAGGATCTGAGCAAGATTTTGCTATCCGAGCAAACGGATCAGGACAATGAAATAAAGAAGAAGGCCTTGACGAACAGTGAATCTTAAGTGTCGGTGACCAATCAGTTAGATTGTGCTGTGCTGTTGTGACTTGATGTATGGATCATACAGCTGTACATGATATTCAGTATTGACTCGTGCAAAGATGGAGAGAAACTTAAGTGGTTATGAATTACATGTTGTAGACTTCTGTGTGCTCCCTTTTGATTATTCTAGCATGACAGATGATTTGTTGGCATTTCACTTAAAACATTTTTGTGCTATCATTGCCCTGCAAATAGAAAAGGAGAGAGAATGGGCACCTAACATATGGACCAAGGAATTGTTCTGAAGGAAGATTCTCCATGAGGCATCAACATTGATTCGATAAGAGCTTCAAAGCCTCAAAGGTGTTGGAATCAAAGCTAGCCTGTGGAACTTTTCATTCTTTTGATTTAAATGACTGCAGCTTTAATCGCCTATTTGTCATTTCTATGTGTTGGTGTTTTATTACATTTCCGCAATGGCAAAAAGAGCATGTTGCCGTGTTACCTTTTTTGCAGAATTATAATATCACATCATGGTTAAGTACTCAATTAGTCACTTACCTAGTACATACCTCCTCCGTTCCATATTACAAGTCATTTTTAGTTTTCTCCTAAGTCAAACTTCTTTAACTTGCCCGAGCTTATAGAAAAATGCATCAACATCCACAATATCAAATTAGTTTCATTAAATACATCATGAAATATGTCTTGATAGTATACTTATTTGTTATTGTGGATATTGGTGCATTTTTCTATAAATTTGATTAAATTTAGAAAAGTTTTGACTTGGGACAAAATTAAAACGACTTACAGTATGTGATGGAGGGAGTACCAATTTTATCTCGATACTCAGATCTTGTGGTGTTGTATGGGCATTCATTTCTTAGCCTGTTCTGATGTTTTCTGCGCAACTGAACTACCCAAATGGCTGTGAAACTGGTCAGGCTGTCTGTTTATGCTAATATTTCGTGGTACTTATCAAGTTATCGGTTATTTTATATCAATTTTGATCCAAATCAGCAGTATCTATAAGAATGTACACACCATGAAACCTTTCTGGTCTCTTGTACATTTTTTTAATGTAATCTGACCTTTCCTGTTTTCAGAGAACTTTGTTCCGGAAGCATTTAGATTTTGGCAGCTTGGCACTGAACTGGAGCGGCTCATTTTCAACATCATTTGTTGCTGCTGCATGTCTACCTGGGCCCTCCTGTTGTATGAACATCAAAATCTTCCAACCTTCACCAATCAATGCTACTACGTACTATATAGCAAAATACTGTGTACTGTTATGCCAAGCTCTGGCTAGTCTAGTCGATGGCGATGCAGCCGGAGCAACTGCAACCGTGCCGGGCCAAACACAGCTAAGTGCTAGCTAAACTGCACAGGAACTGATCTGATCACCTATAATTATCTCTCTTTTTAGAACATGATCATCTATAAAAATCATGATTTATGTATAGTGGGGGAACATCTAATGCCACTATGCCACCAACCCGTGCACAGATCACATGAATTGCAGCCCCTTTTTTTTTCAAGAAATAGAGGTAGAATATACTATAATGATCTGTTGTTGGGGTGGTTAATTAAATTGCTGATTTGCTGACAAGATTTGTACTAGAAGGAACAGAAAATTCCAGATAGAAACTCACTCATTTTTTCCTTAGAAAAACATAATAAAACCATAGTGACTGTTATGAGTGATGCTGATGAATGGCTGGCCCAATATTCTGCTAGGAATTCATAGTTAGGACTTGGAATTTGGACTCTGCCAGTGAGCAACAACTGGCCAACGTGGGTCCGGCCAAACTAAAGACTCGGAGAAGAGAACACACTACTTGGACTGTGGACTACTGGAGTATTATTGGATGCAGATGAACGCAAAGCATCCAGGCCTTTTCTTTCTTCTTCCTGGTGTTTACTGGTCAGTCTGCCCAGTCCACTTCGTTTCTTTGCTTCCCTTTTTTGTGGCTTCAGGGAGATGTTGCTGCCCTGTTGCTGAAAGCAAAAGCAAAGGTACCTAACTGGAATAAGCTCTCTCCAACCAAGCATCTGAACTTATATACCTATACATATATTCTCTAGATTGTGATATACACCTGACTTGTACTTAGTTGCATCATTGCATGCCAAGAATTTTGTTCTATTTTCCCCCCTTGTTTCCTGTGACTCTTGGTTGGATTTGGGAGAAAGGTGGACTTTACGTTTTGTGGAGGGAACACTAACCTGGTGAGAATAACTCGTGCAATGTGTGCAATTAATTAGTCACAAAAGCTTTTATGATCTGTTGAAACAATATGTATATGTCCAGATAATTTGGGGTTCCAACTTATAAGAAAAACTGTTCCATTCCACTAGCTCAGTTTCTGCGTGTTGCAACCATTTTGAAGGGCAAGTGGTTCAGCTTATATGTGGTACTTTGGTAGGTCCATTTCGGGCTTATAACAAACAATAAAAGTTGGCACAAATGACGCAAGCAGCACTAGAGATTATCTTAGGAAAAAGAAGAAATATCCTTTGGTCTAAAAAATTGTTCAAAGATCCTGGAAAAGTGTAGTGAACATTTGTAAAGAAAAGGAAAGAAAAAAAAAGGATAATCACAAGCCTTCCGCCCTGATGCGCAGGCAACTAACAAGTCTCTAACATCTACTAATCTGCCACCTGTCTGCATCTGATTTCTCTGTTCATTATCTCAGGTGGAAGGTGATGAACAGGTCAGGAAACTATTTAAGCCAGTGATTGCTTCACTTATTATTACAGAGCAACGACTTGTTCTTCTGAACACATATTTGTCGGAGTTAAAGAGGGCCCGGGGTATATACGACGCATATATACCGCATTTGATAAAACTCCAGGTCCGAGCAATACGTGGTCGCTCGTGTATCTTGTAGAAAAAATAGGTGGTACGCCCTGTTGCTAGCTGCTGCCGTGTTGTTTTCCTGAGTTTATGTGTGCCCCAAACGTCTCCTTTGTTTGCTGTTCGCTCAATCAGCCGTCCATCTGTCTACGTGTTCCAGTGGCTTTTTTTCTACGGTAATGTGTGCTTGGATTGTTGCTGCTGCTGCTTGACGACAAGGGAGCATGGGATCGATGTGATTTTATGTTGCAGTCGTGTTCCTCTTGTAGTCGTAACCTAACCGGTGAAAGCCAAAGGTATAGCTGTGAATATTGAGTTAATTTCTCTTTGGGTTGTCTTTTATTACCGATATTTTGTTTTGGATTAACTTTTAACAAACGTATTTATTTTGGATTGGATAATTTTACCTTTACTTTACTTTAGACTACCTGACTCTCTTATCAAGCATATGAACAATTTCGAGTACGACGACTTTTGCTTGTCAATGAACCTTACATAGACTAAAAATAGTTAAATTATACGTAGACTATTGCTTTGATATGACAAGTAGATACAAATGGATAAAAATAGTTTAGGGTGGTCTAAAATGCCACAAAGTTAAATTTACTTAGTTCAAAATAAAAATATTTCTTAAAGTGTGGTCTAAACCAAAACAGTAATGAAAGTGACCCAAAATGAAATTTACTTGTGAAGATTTAATTTTTCATGCCAAATCTTGTGAATTTGTGGGTTGCCTAGAGTGACAACGGCAAAACTAGAAAAATACTACTATCAACAAGGTCCATGTGTGTTTCTCAGAAAAAAAAAGGTCCATGTGTCACGTTTAACGGCACAAATCACACGTATCACACCACACCGTGGGAGGTACGCACGCACTCCACGGGGTGCCGAAGCCAAATACTAGTACACTCCGTACGACACAACTAGAGTCCAGAGATGCAAACAAGCTCACCCGCCAACCCGTTTATATGCCAAATAGTAACTGGCAATGTCGTGGTCCGGTTTATTTTTATCTAAGGATGTGGACCAACCCATAAATCTATTTATATGTTAAATTAATAATTGATTCGTGGATTACTCACTAATTTTATCTATAAGTGGGTTCGTGGGTCGACCCACTCGTTATCCTGGGTGCAACCTTAGAAAATCTTAGGGCTTGTTTAGTTGGGGAAATTTTTTTTGGTTTGGTTGTCACATCGGATATACGTGCATACATTTAAATTATTAAATACAATCTAATAACAAAACAAATTATAGATTCCGCCAGGAATCTGCGAGATGATTTTATTAAGCCTAATTAATCCATTATTAGCAAATATTTAATGTAACACCACATTGTCAAATCATGACGCAATTATGCTTAAAATATTTGTCTCGTAATTTACACGTAAACTATGTAATTGATTTTTTTTATATTTAATACTCTATGTATGTGTCAAATATACGATGTGATGGATAAAAAGTTTTTGTTTAGAAACTATAAACAAGGCCTTACTAGTCTCTCCGTCCACTCCACTGACCGTCCAAAAGCTAGTGAAAAGCAAGCCCAAGTACTACACCAACATAACCGCTGATGCGCCTACCTGCCGTTACAAAGCTACCCCTCCGTACCACGCGATTGCCTCACCTCGGCGCGGCGACATCGCCGTTCGCACGGTACAGACACTACAGAGAGGCTAGCAGGTGAGACTTTCAGAGAGAGACGATGGAGACGTGGACGGAGGAGGTGGTGGTGGCCGTGGTGTATGAGATCCGCGGGGAGACAATGCCGTTGGACTCAGAGAGGCCGACACCGGCCAAGGCCCGCGCGCCTCTCGTGAGAAAAAAAAAAAAGAAAAACGGCTCCTCCTCCTCCTCCTCGTGCGAGCGTGCGGCGAATTATGTGCGGATGATGCGCTGCACGGCGCGGCGCGGCGCACGCACCGTCCTCCGGCTCCGGGGTGGATGGATGGATGGGATTTATGGTGCCTCTGCCTTACGGCTTCACGCGGCATTCGGTTCGCGACGCGCTTCCGGCCTTCCCTTTTAAAAATGTTTCCCTTCCTTGTGCCAACTGCTGATAGGTCCGTGGAGTGGTTTGGAATTCTGTCCGTGCCCTTGGTTCAGAGGGGGGCTCCTTTGCAAATCTGATGGTAGTAGTAGTGTAGTACTCCATTTTCTCTACACAGTACAGTACTATGTAAGTACATCAGTACATTTTTTAGATAATAGTACATCAGTACATGTCCTGTTTATTCCTTTTATTATCAGAAAGGAAAATGTTAAATGTACGTGATAATTTCCTGACAAAAGAAACTAGTAATAAATAAACTCGTAGTTATATGAAGATTAAATATGTTTCATACCATCCTATGATTTGCAATATGTTTCATAAAATCAAAGTTTCGGAATGTTTCATAAAACACCGGATACAAGCTAGCCACCTTTTTTTTATTATTACATATCTAATTAAAAATTAAAATTTAAAATTGGTCGGTAACCTCAACCAATAGTACTAGCCACTTTTGGATACAACATCATTCCATATTATAAATCGATTTGACTTTTTTATTAATCAACCTTCTCTAGCTTTGTATAAGTTTATAAACAAATATAGCAATATTATCAACATAAAACAAATAAACTATTAAAATATATTCAATGTTACATACTTACATTTAACAAAACTAATTTAATATTATAAATATTGCTATATTTTTCTATAAATTTTGTTAAAGTTTCAAGCAATTTGACTTTAAAAAGTGTAAGCTATTTATAGAATTAAATTTAAAAATATATTGTTTATTCAATTTATTTTCAAGAATATTCAGGATATAAATTTTATTGCAGAAATATACCATCGATCTTGCACAACCGTTGAGCGAAAATAACGCAAGGGTGAGCGATATCGTGCGGAGAAAGCGCGAGACGGCGCAGTCTTGCGCAGCGACGGTGCGAGAGCGCAGGATGGACGAGCGGTCTCGCTCAAGCAGAGAGCGACACCGTCCTAAACTGCATTTGGTTAGTGACTAATGACCTAATTAATTATTTAACTAATAATAATTAGTGATTAAATAATAATTAATTAATCACTAATTATGGTAATTAATCACTAATTAACTATTTTGAAATCCGGTATCGCTGATTGGTTAAGCGAGACCGCTCTTCCATTTCATGAGACCGCGCGGTCTCGCGCTTTCCCTGCGCGAGACCGCCCGCGACGTCACGCCCATGTCACTTTCGTGCAATGGTTGTGCGAGATCGACGGTATATTTTTGTAAAAGTTTTGAATCCCGGATATTTCTATAAATAAAATAAATGAACATTATATTTTCAAATTTAATTCGCTGCTTATAATACGAAGCGAAGGGAGTACTATTCTCCCAAGTTCTTAAACTGTAATATTAGCATCACACAAGGACGCAAGTGAAAATTACCCATCGATCTACTACCACCACCAGGTCGCACGATCGGCAACTGACGACTGCGACTGCCTCCTCTTCTTCTTCTTCGCCAGCACCATCGCTTCCAACCTCCGCATATATTAACCTCCCTGTCTCCTCCACTTCTCCCATTCACATTCACTCGCTGCCAACCCCAACCACCACCCATGGCGCCTCTCCTCCTCCTCTTCCTCCTCGGCGGCCTCTGCGCCCTCTTCTCCCTCGCCTCCTCCTCGCCAGCGACCAAGAAGTGCGGCGATGCCAAGAAGCGGAGAGAGGAGGAGGGGGAGGAGGTGGTGGTGGTGGCCAAGAAGAGGCCGGAGGAGGAGCCGCGGCGGCCTGACCCGGACGCCGACCTCGGGATCGTGTTCTCCACGTTCGACCACGACGGCGACGGCTTCATCACGGCGGCGGAGCTGGAGGAGTCCCTGAAGCGCCTCGGCATCGCCGTGTCGTCCGCCGCCGAGGCCGCCGCCCTGGTGGCCCGCGTCGACGCCAACAGCGACGGGCTCATCGATATCCACGAGTTCCGCGAGCTCTACGACTCCATCCCCAAGCGGCGCAAGAGCCACCAGCAGCACCCGCTCCCCTCCACCGCCGCCGCCGACGAGGAAGCCGCCGCCGCTGACGAGGAGTATGAAGCAGAGGAGGAGGAGAGGGACCTGAGGGAGGCGTTCGACGTGTTCGACGGCAACAAGGACGGCCTCATCTCCGCCGAGGAGCTCGGCACCGTGCTCGAGTCCCTCGGCCTCCGCCAGCACGGCGGCCGCCCCGCCGTCGCCGAGTGCCGCGACATGATCCGCCTCGTCGACAGCGACGGCGACGGCATGGTCAGCTTCGAGGAGTTCAAGCGCATGATGACCGTCGTCAAGGCCTAGCACCAAGGCGGGCAATCTCCAACTTCTATCAAATTCAAATTCAAAAACCAAAATTCGGAGCGGATTCGCAAAGGCAAGTAACCTCAATTTGTTCTTGGACACGACGAGGCTCGCAGATCGATCGGCGGGAGAGAGAAATCAAAGCAAAAAATCAATTGTTTGTGAGTGGAGTTGAAGACTAACCAGCTTCTTCTTCTCGCTCGCTTTGTGTTTCTTCCCACCTGTTCTTGATCACTTTCTTTGGTTTTTTTTCTCTCTTTTTTGCAGTCTAATTAACCTCGTAATTCAGTGCCTGTTTTGACTGACAAGTTTCAAATATATGCATGTAAATATTAGTTCCTGCTACCTACTGTCAGGTTATTAATTTGTCCAAAAGAAACAGTGGCTGAAATGGAAAGGTTTAATTGATATTATTAGCTGTTAATTCGGCCTCTGTATTATGCTTGAGCCTTACTGGTGTATGATTCCAATGGCATAGTTTCTGAAGGCAAATTATCATAATTTTTTTTAATAGTTGATCTGTAAAGTTGGCTTGTTCATGGAGAAAGCTACCAAGTTCTTGGCGGTATGAACAAGGTAGCTAAGTAAGATTATTCTGTTCTTCTGTGATCACAAGACTGAATCTTGTGGTCTTCTGCGGCATGGGTTCACATGTGCTCCTGTTCTGTTTTTTTACTTCGAAAATTCAAGGTAATTTTTTTTTCTTGGTGTTCAAATTTTGATGATTTTTCCTTGAAAAATTCAATGGTCAAATATTTGAGATGGTCATTCATGTATTACCTTTACGTGGTCAGGACCTCAAAGACCCTCAGACAAGAACTAATTTCCCAACGAGTAGTATTACTTGCAAAAAGGAGAATTTGACTTCTCCTTTGTCTTTTCTCTGTACAAAGCTTTGATCCATGAAAAAAAAAACATGTTTTTTCATGTTCTTCTCGTCTTGCAAAAACAAATTACTGAAGTCTATACAACCTAGTAGCACCGATACATGTCGTTTCTGTGAAATTTATGCAAAGTCGTTGTCTTCGATTTAAAGGCTATGAGCTCTATAGCCTTGTGCTTACGCTACCCTTGCAACGTAAACCTGGCAACCAAATTGCCAAGTGTCAGAAAGGCCTCACCACCAGTTTCGTCTCGTTCTGAACTTTGGCTGAGACTGCAAAGACCAGTTAAAAACTGTGACCAGGTTAATGAAATGACATTTCAACAATCAGCCACAAGCACTGTGAGATGTTTTACTAATATCTCTCAGATCTCTATCACGGTAATTAAGAAATTCCAAGCTTGGATCTGGGGCCTGCACAAGATGATGATGATAATTTAATTGTCAATTACTGAATCATGCAAGAAAGTGTCAAGGCCTGAGCTGAGCTGAGCCTGCAGCTAAGCAATTAGATTACTCTTTGCTGCCCATGTGGGGGATGCCAAATCTACACTAGTGACAGAGTGACAGTACAAGTGGATGCATAATGCTCTTCTTCTATTTGATTGCCCCTTCTGATGGTTACAGATAATTAGATAACAACTCTACAAGGTTGACATAATGGATTGGTGATGCGCTACAACAGTGTGGTTTAGGCTGGTTTTCAGCTGCAATTACGCGTGAACTCCACCTAATTTGCACTACTTTTAATTCAATCGATTCGATCCACTTGTGACGCTCGAACGGCTAGTAGTTAAAAGATAGGTAAACCAAACCATTCAGCCACTGCGTTGAGCTAATCTAATCAGACGGCTAATTAACCATTAACAACACGGATGCTTAAAAATCACAGTGAAACAATTTCATCGGCGTCAGCAATTAATGGAAAGAATCAGCAAGAACGGCAGCGACAGCGGCAGCAAGATTCGCTGCTATCGTGAGGGCACGCGAAGCGAAGCATGTGCTCTCCATCGGCATCAATGGCGGAGGACGCGAATGATGAAGACGAGATGCGGATTCTTGAAGGCGAGGGACAGGTGGAATATGGTTCGAACTTTTCGATCCCATCTTGGCTGCCGCACCGCGAGAAAAAAAAATCTTAATAAAAGAGAGAGAGGAAACAGATGGGGATATGGACGAATCGTCCCTGCCGACGCGCGGCGGCGCCGCCGCCTCTGGTCTGCCGCCGGCGGCCTTGCCCGGTGGCGGCGGTAAATTTTGCCAGAAATTCGCGCGAAAATTTAGAAATGTTCCGAAAATATAAGAATATTTAACTATTTATCACTTAGATGTGGTAATTAGCCATTGTTATCTGTCCTCGCATGCGGTAATTAACATATGAGACTCACATTTCATTGACGTATTAGTGCTAAATGGTTAAGGCTAAATTTAAGAGTGACGAATAGTAAAATGTCTAGGTTTCAAATTTTGTTTTCTTTTTTAGGTTTCAAAAAAATAGTTTAATGTCCCGAAAATATTGCCCCTTCGTTATCCCGAGTTCTCTTCCGAAACTTTGTTTGATTGGAATGGGCTGTTATTGTAAGCGGATCACGTACACAGTACACTCCAATTCAAGCCCTTGAATGGAAAACCCATTTACTGGATGGAAAAAGTACACCCAACGTCCCTCAACTTGTCATCAAAGATATAAAATCATCCTCAAACTAAAAAACAGAAGGTCCCTCAACGGTTTTGATCCCGATTTTGTCCTAAGTGGCTGCTGAGTCAGCATGGGACCTACGTGGGCCCCACATATCAGGGTAATCCACGTCATCACCCTCCCTTTTTCTTCTCTTCTCTCTTTCTGGGCGAGGCAAAGCGGCGCGCGGGTGCAGAGGGCCAGAGGCCAGCAGGCGAGGCGGGAGAGAGGACGGCGGCCGGCACCCGGCGGCAGCGGCGGCCGCAGCGGGAAACATGGCGACGCGGCAGCCCCGACGGCGATGTCATCGACTGCGTGCCGACGCACCTGCAGCCATCCGGTTCGGGATGAAGCAGCCACGCGCCGCCGGCATCGTCCGCCGCGACTCCGCCAACGACGGCCACGAGGTCAGTCAGTCAACTCGCCGGTCACCGGCAAGCTCACCGGCGGCAAGCTCGCTCTCCACATATATCTGCATCATCAATTCATCATTATTGGCATTGGCGAGTTGGCAACAATGGCGATGGCGAATTGGCAACGAACTGAACTAAGAGTGTAATTAATTAGCTGAGATTAATCACGAGCTGATGAAAACGATGATGCAGCATGCGAAGAGGCTGGAGGAGGCGGGGCTGATGCAGGAGCTCGCTAGTGGGATGCAGGAGCCCGGCATGGACGACGCCGCGGAGGCGGCCGGGAAGGAGAAGCAGCGCACGCCGTCGATGCGGCGGCGGAGGAGGAGGAGGACGCTGGCCACCGCGCCGCGGCAGGATCCGGCAGGGACGAGGGGGACGACAACGCCGACGAGAGGAGAGGATCTCGTCGGGAGGAGCGGGGCACGGGGCACACCGACGCCGACGACCACCATGCCCGCCACCTCCGCCTCCTCCCAACCGAGGCGGCGTCTTCGCCGACCTCCACGCCACCGCTGCCTCCTCCCAACCGAGGCCGTCGCGGCCTCCTCCCTCCTCCTCCTCCTCCTCCTCCTCCCCGCCTTCGCCTTCCGCCACCGCGGCCGCCCGCCGCCTCTCCCCGCTCGCGCGGTTCCTCCTCAACACGTTCCGCCGCCACCAACGCTGGGGCCCGCCCGTCGTCACGGACCTCTCCAAGCTCCGCCGCGTGGCTCCCGAGCTCGTCGCCGAGGTCCCCAGCGCTCGCCCGCCACCGCCGCCGCCGCTCGCGCTCCCGTTCTTCCTGTGGGCGGGGTGGCAGAAGGGCTTCCGCCACTACTTCCTGGCGTTCCATGTGCGCGCGAGAGAGAGAGAGGGGAAAGAGAGAGAAAGATGAGGGAGAGAAGAGGGGAAAGAGAGGGTGACGTGGACAAATGATATGTGGGGCCCACGTAGGTTTCATGCTGACTCAACCGCCACGTAGATAAAACCGGGGTCAAAACCACCAAAGGATTTCGGGTGACCGGTTTTGTATAGTTAAGGGACCCCATATCTGGTTTTACGGTTCGAGGACGTTTTTTAATCCCGACGACAAGTTGAGGGAACTTTGGTGTACTTTTTCCTTGGAAAAAGTCCACTTTGACTCCCTTAATTGTTTACCGAATCTAATTCGTGACCCTTAACTACAAAACCAGGCAGGATGACTCCCTCAATTACTAAAACCAGTACAAATTGAATCTCTCAGCGGTTTTAGAGGGCGGTTTTGCTGATGTGGCATGCTGACTTGGCCCATTATGCTGACGTGTCAACCCAGTCATGAGGCCCACATGCAATTGATTAGGGAAAAATATAAAAAAACGTAGGGCCAGCTTGTCAGGGCCCTCTTCTCCCTCTATCTTAAAAAAAAAACAGCAGAGCAATCGCCGCCGCCGGCGATGGCGATGGCGGTGGTGCGGGCGGCAGCGGTGGATGGCGATAGTGATGGTTGTCTGTGGCACCGCTTTGCCTCGTCGCCCTCCTCCTCATCCTTCGTGGCCGACTGCTGCGTCGCGCACGCCACCCTTGTGGAGCGCGGCACCACTCTCGCCGACCGCCTGGAGGTGGCGCGCTCGCTCCTCGGAGAGAACGGCTACACCATCACGCGCTGCAGATGCGGGCCCATGTGGCAAATCCTCCGGCGCAACCTTGTCGCCGAGACGCTGCACCCGTCGCGCGTCCGCCTGGCGGGGAGGCCGAGAGAGGATACAACAGATCAACAGCAACTCGTGTTTCCTGGTAACAACTGCAGAGCTGAGCAGGACACAAGCCGCCGCAAGATTTCATCAGTGATAATCTTCTTTTGAAAATTTATCATCAGTGATAATCGAGCGGGGCAGGCGTATCCTTGAGATCCATCCCCCGGAAATGGACATCCTGCATGCACATCACAAGTAAAAATAATTCAGTCATCACAAACCTACACAAAGCACACATCAAGCTTGGGAATTCACACGCACGCACGTACCGATGCGAAATGGTTGACGTCGCGGTGGTGCGCCTCGTCGGCGCGGACGATGACAACGTCCTTGAGCGTGGCGCCGGCGGGGAGCCGCCAGTAGTCAATGGCGATCGGCGGTGCGGGGACGTTCTCGATCTTGCCGGCCTCGATGTCCTTGAGGTACTCGGTGTAGGGGTGGATGGCCTCCTCCTCGAGGTAGCCGACGACGCGGTGCGCGAGCTTGGGGGAGAGGAGGTAGCCGAGGAAGTAGGCGTTGAAGAAGACGCGCTGGACGGCGAGCACGAGCGTGCGCTCGTACCACCTCGGCTTGACCGCCTCCATGAAGGTCATGAGGTGCATCCGCTCGTTCTCGGCCTCCTCCAGCAGCGCGTGTATCCAGCCGCCGCTGTGCTCGAAGCTGGTGGCGCTGGCTCAACCCTGGGCCTTCCTCTCCGACTGCCTCATCAACGCCACCACCGGTCACCCCTTTATCTTCGAGGGTGCCTTCTTCCTCTCCCTCGCCACCCGCATCAACTTCGGCACCCCCTCCCACCGACCCCGTCCGCTACCCCGACGACCGCGTCTGGGAGTCCGACATGGCGCGCAGCCCAACTTCCTCGTTGAGGTCGCGCCCGCTACCGCCCAGACCTGACCGAGGCTCGAGAGCGAAGCTCGGCGTCGCCCAGATGCGGAGCTCAGCGGCCGCCGCCCCCTGCCTGCCGTCGCCGGCGCTGCCCCTCGCTTGCCGTCACCGCTGGCGCCGGCCCCCGCTTGCTGAATTGGGAGGGAGAGAGAGATAAGGGGGGAGATTGGGGAGGATGAGGAAGGGATAGACTGACATGTGGCCCCACGAATTCTTCTTCTATGTGAATGACGAATGGGTCCCACGTGTATGTTTTTAGTTATAATGCCACCTAAGCGTCACGTCAACTGCAGACCAAGTCAACATTGCCATGTAGATGCCACGTCAGCGAAACAACTATTCAAAACCGCCAAGGGATTCAATTTGTACTGGTTTTAGTAATTGGGGGAGTCAGTCTACCCGGTTTTCTAGTTAAGGGTCACGAATTAGATTCGATTAACAATTAAGGGAGTCTAAGTGGACTTTTTCCTTTTTCCTTTACTGGATTAAAATGCGCGGCCCAGATTAGAGTACGGCCCAGTACATTGGGTCCACAAGAGTAACCTTGGGCCGAAACTACTGGGCCAAATTTGAAGCCTCAAGGCCCACGAAAATCCAACCCAATCCGCACCCAACCCCACGTCTATAAAAGCCCTTACCCTCGCCTAGGGTTTCCTCTCCCGTCTCCGCGCTCGCCGCCGCCGCCGCTCCTCCTCCGCGCCCTCGAAGCCGCCGCCGCCGCCGCAGCCTCGCCGCCGTCGACATGGGTAAGTGTCCTCTCGATCGCCTCTCTTTCTCTCCCTACCCCCTCGCGCCTTTTGCTGATGGGATTCGGCCGCAGGTAAGGTGCACGGATCGCTCGCTCGCGCCGGGAAGGTGCGCGGCCAGACGCCCAAGGTGGCGAAGCAGGACAAGAAGAAGAAGCCCCGCGGCCGCGCCCACAAGAGGATGCAGTACAACCGCCGCTTCGTCACCGCCGTCGTCGGATTCGGCAAGAAGCGCGGGCCCAACTCCTCCGAGAAGTAGACGCGCCGGGCCGCTCCGCCGGTGATGTCCCGTTTGTTCTTGGTAGTAGTTTCCTTTTAAGTGCTATATGCAAGAAAACAAGAAGGGGGAACCAATCTTTTGTAGCGTGTGAGCTCGATGCTCGTGTGATTTGGATCGAACTCAAAAGTGCTTAGTCTTATTATGCCGCATGTTAAGTTTGAGATATGATATGAGCTCGTGACTTAATTTTGCTTAATGTTTACCCTCTTTTATCTTCTATCAATTGTGACTAATTCAAATCTGTGCTTGTGTTCGTCCTTGCGTTGTGAATCGTGCCGTTTGTCAAGTACCAAGCTTTGTCACTAGGCTGCGGTTTCTAATGTAAATTACTTAGTAGACGGCTGTTACTTGAAGAAGTAACTTTCCTCACCTCTATCAGTAGTACTCTTCCCCTCTGCATAATGTATGCATGTTGTTTTGTAGTAATGTCCATATCACCTTGATAATTTTTGTTACATTGTGAAACGGAGGGAGTAGAAAATTTGCGTATCTGTGGGTCTTTGCTAAGGGTTACCTGTTAAATACGAAAAATCTTGTTAATGTGGCTGGATTGAGCTGAACTGTTGAAGCCTTGAACTTTGCCTGCTTCTTTCTTTTTTAAAGAACTTGGGATGTGAGAAAGATGCGTTCGTTCCTATTTGGCTGTGTGTTCTGTTAGTAAATGGCTGTCAGGCATTGTTATGTTTGATCTGTACTTAAATTTCATTGGCTATTTTAGGAATAATGTTGTGTGTTCTTGAATTCCTATGCTTTTAGTAAACACCAATTCGTATCAGTGATCACCACTCAGTTCACAGTGGTCAGTATTGGTGAGCAACAACTCTGATTTTGCAAATCGGTAGCCCCACCCTGCACATTTCTTGAAATCATCAAGTGAACGTGTGTTGGGTAATTGTTTCAGTGGTGGTTATAAAGTGCATATTGTTTGCAGTGCAATTGAGATATGCACATTAATACTGCAGAAGTTTTTTGGAACTCCGGAGTTAGTTCGTGTGATACCTGTTGAAAGTTGCACTCATATATTCTGAAGCTTGGCTCTGGAACTCGGCGTCTCTCCAGGCTGTCTGGAAGAGACCTTCTGTGTCACCGCCACAAAACCACTGCAAATGCTCTTTTTTGTTATCGATCCTACTCCTATCTTGTTGTGTGGCCTGTGCTAGTTGGATTGGATGTATACATGAACTAATCAGCAGCTATCTGATCTCTACTACATCCTCTTTCATATTATTATTAAGCCAATTTGTACAAAAGTGCTATTAAAATATATTTGATCTAACTTATTATAGAAGTTCGATATAGAATAAAGTCGAAACGACTTATAATATGAAATGAAAGAAATTATGTACGTAGGTGTGATTCAGGTTATTGCATAGGCTGCCAATTTGTATACTCAGGCACTTCAGCAACGCAGTATCAACATCAGGAATTCAGTATCAGGCGCTAATGCAGAGCATCTGCTATAAAGAAATCTTCTCATAGCACCAGAACAGATGACCATCGGAGATACTGCAGTTCTTGATTGTTCTCTTTTTTTTTTTTTTTGACGAGATTGACGCGAATCATGCGATCTGAATTTCCGCTTGCGCGCACGGTTGCAATTCAAGCCCATGCAGCATTGCAGATTTGCCTGTGCGACTATGGCTGTAGCTCCAACGATCTACTTATGGTTATGGCTGTGAGACTATGCATCGCCCAGGCAGTCAGGCTGCACCCTGCATCCAAAAGCAATGGATCCTGACACCAATGAATGTTCTTGTTTAGAGGTGTTTTTGTGTTACGGCTACCTTGATGTTGCCACGAAGAGAAGCGAAGGATTTTGAGAAAACTGGGGGTCGGAATTTTAAACTCCGACCCACACCTCCATGTAGACAAACAATGCTGTACATCTCAGTGAAGATTGGAACTATCTGAATTACATCTCAAAAAAAAGATTGGCATCATAGCTCAGGCAGGAATTCACAGCAGCTTCATTTCAAAATCTACTTAGGAGTTAGGATACAAGCATCTGTTCATTGCTACATGGCGTACTGCTCTGGGAGAATAAGCTGATTATCGAATGTTCATGGTCAAGCCTGTATATTCAGGTTAATCCTAGTTCTCTGCAGCAGCTAGCTAAAGCTTCCCTGACTGTATCCATGTCAGTATCATCGCAGTTCACTGAAGATTTCCAAATTTTACGCTCCTAAGAGCAAGTTTAATAGTATAGCCCACTACTAGCTCCAATTTATATATAGCTAATCTAATAGCCAATTCATATAATAGTTGCTTACTATACTATTAATATATGGTCTCATATGTCATACACACATTGCATCTTGGAGTCCGTGCTGCAGCTGGCTACAAATCTGTAGCCCGCTACTCTTCTCTCTTATCTTTTATCTCATTAAAATATGTTTGTAGCTGGCTAATAACTTGCTATTGTACCTGCTCTAAAAAGCATGTCATCAGCATCAAGTCGATCATCTGATCTGAAGAAAATTTCTCTGAACACATGAACTTATGACTACTGGAGAAAGCAGAAACTGATTAGATCTAAGACATAAACAATGGTAGAGAATTATTACATATTATCCCTCGGTTGTGCCGCAAGTTGATAGCTGATGATGTCAGATGTTCCGATGAGAAGCTCTGTATCATAATTGAATTTTCTCACAAATCAGGGTGATGGTACCCAAAACTAATGCATAAATCTTGGGTGAACATTTGAGGTGATTTTCGTTGCAGCTAACCTTCATGCTGCCAAGGAAAGAAGCTAGGATATTGAGAAAACAGGGGTTCGGAGAATCAAACTCCGAACCCCGCTCCAGGTAGAAAAGGCCATACCAGAGCAAGTGTGTTCTTGAGGCCCATCTATGATTTGCATTTTTCACAAATTTTTGTCTGGCAGATGAATGATCAAAAATACCTACAAGGCAATAATGAAAAATAAATGAAGAATCTGACTGTAAAGTGCATATTGTTTGCAGAAGTTATCGCAAGTTCCATCATCCCTGGAATGAAGAATCTGGCTGTAAATGAACTTCTGCAGGAAACTTTTTGTTCCAAGTTGCATCATCCCTGGAAGTGTTCGGCGCGTAACTGAACCATCCAACGTTCATTTTACATATTAGCCAGCATGTTGAACTCCACCCATTTTTGCTCGTTGAACTCCAGAGTTAGTTCATGTGGTGCCTGTTGAAAGCTGCAAGGCGATTCTGAAACTTGGCTCTGCAACTCTGCGTCTCTTCAGGCCTCATCCTGCAATTGCATTTTTCATGGCATCTGGAAGAGACCATCAGAACACAATTCGTCAGTCATCACCACCACCACAAAAACTCTGCTCTTTGTTATCACATCATCCGGCCTGTGCTGGTTGGATGCATAGATGAACTAATCAGCAGCTATCTCTACTAGGTAATTATGAAGTATGATTCTTGCAAGACAAAATTTGCCCCAGAACACGCAAAAAAAACATGTAATTAGCTGAGAGACACCGCGAAAATGTGACACGGCTCATGGAAAAAAAAAACATATAATTGACTGTAGAACACCGGTCGCATTATTTTATTATTTCTGGGTAAAAAAAGGTGAGATATTTATCTAAATGCTTGGATTGCCCTTTCTCTTTCCTTCTTTAAATACCGGTGGGTCCCACATGTCACGGACAGCCTATGTTTAATCTAATTTTTAATAGGTTTTTAACCTCCTGGGCCCATGAGTCATGGACTAATTTATTCGTAATTAGTAGAGAGATTACTATTTGCTAATCATAAGTGGGGTCCACACCTCTCTCTCCTATCCTCTTCTTCCTCACGTACGCCCTTGCTGCCCCCGGGCGACGGCGGCGAGGGGTTGGCGCACGGGGCGAGCGGGCCGCCGCAGAGCGCCGTGCCGAGGAAGGCGCTCGCCGGCATCCCGGTGAGCGACGCCGGCACGGCGCCACCGAGCTGGCCATTGTACGACACGTTGAACTGCGCGAGCTTCGGCAGCATCAGGTTACCGGGGAGCGTGCCATTGAAGCCGTTGCGGTCGAGGTTCAGCGTGGTCAGGCTCGCGAGCCGGCTGAACTCCGGCGAGACGCCGCCGTTGAGGCGGTTCCCGGAGAGGTCCACCTTCTCGAGCAGCGCCAGCGAGAAGAGCCCCTCCGGCAACCTGCCGGCGAGCCGGTTCCCGGAGAGGTTCAGCGACCGGAGCTGGACGCAGCCGCCGATGTCCGCGGGGACCCCGCCGGATATCGCGTTCGTCCGGAGCGACAGCGTCCGCAGCGCGGTGAGGTTGCCGACCGTGCCCACGGGCACCGCTCCTCTCAGGCTCTTCCCGGGGAGCCGGAGCTCGGTGACGCGGTCGCCGGCGGCGGAGCAGTGGAGCACCCGACGCCGTGCTACGCGCCGCCGCACGGCGTGGGCGCGGACGGGTCCCACGGCAGGTGCCGCCCCCCCACCGCGTCCCGCAGCGCCAGCAGCGCCGCGCGGTCGCCCGCCATGTCGGCCGCCGCCGCCACCGCGCCCGCGACGAGCACCACCACCACCAGCAGCAGAACGGCGCGGCGTCGCCTAACGACGCCATGGCAAGGCGAGAGCTCGCGAGGAAGGCGGAGGACGCTGTGCTGGGTAAAGGATTTATGGGCGGCGAGAGAGCTTAGGATTCTCCATTTGGAAGAGCTCGGGTTTTTGTCCATGCAGCTGGCATGCACGACGCACCACGGCGGCGGCGTGGTGCCTTCGCCGGAGTTCGCCGCCGCAGTTGAAGTTGGATGGGGATTTCAGGTACTGAGGCTAAGGGCATTTCCGTCCTTTTGAAATTTCTCTCTCCTCTTTTTCACCGAAAATAATAAAATATTACCTCGGGTGTCCTACAGCTAATTACACAAATTTTGTAGTATCCATTGAAAGTGTCGTGTTTTTTGGGTGTCTTCTAATTAATTACATGATTTTTAGATGTCCTGTGGTAAATTTTATCTTCTTGCAAAGACTACCAGTTTGTATACTCCTGAACATTCAGCTATGATGTATGGTTTGCAGAATGATTGATAGCAAGTTCTTAATTTTCTTCAGAGATGGATGCCATGAGAAGATGCGAGAGAATTGAGAGAACTGGGGCCGCAGTCGGAGTATTAAACTCTGACCCCTACCTCCAAGTAGAAAATGCCATACATGCAAAGCAAGTGTGTTCTTTGAGGCCCATCTATGATTTGCACAAGTATTTCTTGCGCAGATGAATGGCCTAAAAATAGCTTTTGAGACAGATTTTTTAAAACTTTTTTTAGAGGAGGATATTTTTTTTATCCGGTCTCTACATTCAACTGAATATATGCAACCTTAAAAATAGCTTTTGAGACAGATTTTTGTACCTTTTTTTTAACCTTTTTAGAGAAGGATATTTTTTATTCGGTCTCTACATCCAACCGAATATATGCAACCTTTTAAATCGGAAACTTAACTCCTCAAATAACCCAATCTGAAATTCACTCCTACGGAGATTTAAATTCAGGACCTTAAAATGCTACTCAAGTCACTGTGACCACTTAATTTATTTTTTTTACCTCTAGTTATGTATTACTGTAGAAAGGAGATTGAGAATCTGGCTGTTTACCAAGTGGTGATGGAATGGCTGTCTTTCCGGTCCAGATTCTAGAGGTAAAGCAGCATGCATAAAGTCAAATGAAAGATGGGCGTATGTCAGGGAATAATTCGCAGCGTCATATCATGCAATATCTAATCGTCGATTCGTAACATGAGTATGTATATTTTCTTTTGAGAGGATATTTGTGTATGTTGAAATGTTTTTGTTCCTTTGGTACTACAGTGTTTTTATGGTTCCAATCCCAGTTGCGGGAAAAAAAAGAGGTGTCGAACGACTGATTAACGTCTCTTAATTGGAACCCTGGAACTCCTTTTTCAGACGACAAAACTCTGAATTTCTGAATCCCTAAAACCCTATTATCTCTGAAACCCTGAAACATCTCTGAATATCTTTTTTTTTTTTTGGGGAACATCTCTGAATATTTGAATCCCTTTAGTTCATACTCTACCTGCTTACTGCCTTACTCGATCCAGACAGTTCATGATGTTTGCAGGGTTCCAGGCAGAGCTCGACCTCGTGTGTTGTCTCCCATTGCTTGGTTCGCTGCGGCTGCTACCCCCGCGCACAGTGCATGATGCTCCCTGTCCAAAGCTTTGCTTGATTGCTTATGAGCCGTACGCCCGTACCTAAAATCTAAATTTTAGAACTTGATTAAAAGTTAGTTATAAGAATTTTCAGAACAGATTAATTTTTTAACAGTATCTTTTAAATTGCTAGAAACATACATATAAAAGTCTACTTATAATTTTTTTTAGTTAATTTCATTTATTTTTCCACGGTTTTTATCAAGTACGGTGCAAACAATGAGTAGGTAGCCGGACTGGGATACATGTAAGTATTATATTAAGTTATAATCTGGACAAAACTATATACTAGATTCATCCTAGAATGGATCAAATCTTGTTCTAGATTATAATATTTTGAAATGGAGGAAGTATTTATTTTAGTAAAGTGCACAGGTTGTCTTTAAACTTATAGAGATATGTCATCTTGGTTCCTAAACTCTCAAAATATATATTCATTTTTTCTTTTTCTTTTTCTTTTTCTTCTTCTCCTTTTTTTTCTTTTCTTTCTCCTTTCTCTGTAACCTAAGCACCCCGTGCAACGGTGGCCTACAGTTGCATTGAGAGGAAGGAGAAGAAAGGGGAAAAGTGAAGGAAAAGAAAAGGAAAAAGGAAAAAAAGAAAAGAAAAATTTTTAAGTAGGTCCTATTTGTCAGTCAAGATTATGCCACATCATATCTATGTGGCATGTCATATCAACGCCATGTAGGATTTATTTTGGGCTAAACTTGAATTTACATGGCGAAGTTTTGTACTGCATAATAGGCTTTTCAGTGCCTTGGGCCGTGGCTCAGTTGGCCCGATGCCTGGGTCCACCTCGCAACGTTCAGGTTTCGCTTATGAGCGCCAAGAGACCGACCGCTGTCTAATTAGTTCCCCACTCATCCGTCATGGTCGCGCATAGCTGAGTCACCAAGGTTGCTTTGTCTTCGAATACCCTATCCTTCTAAACCGACCATGCCACAAGGATGACACCCGCACTGAACGTTTTTGCGGCCGATCTTCGCCACCTCCTTGCGAGTCGCATGTCACCAGAACACCAGATCGGCGGATGTCACCGAGCACGTCATTCCAAGACGGCTGCACACCCGATTCTTTGACCCTCTACGTAAAGTCATAATCTATCTATCTATCTTTCTATTATATTATTAAAACAGCTTTGAAATGAAACACCACGTTCGTTGTGGGGGCTAGAAATTCCCAGATTAATCGGAGAAAAAGAAAAAAAAGAAAAGGAGAGTCCAAGCAAAAATACAATATAAAAATAGCTGAAATTCGTAATTAAATATATGCAATATTGAAAGAAGTTTCCATATAAGAAACCAATACAAGATTAATTAAAATTCGAAATAAAAATAAAATAAAATCCAAAATTAAAAAAAAAAGAGTCCAAGTGGAAATACAATTTAAAAATACCTGAAATTCGAAATTAAAAATAAGCAATATTGAAAGAAGTTTCCTTATAAGAACCTAACACGAGATTAATCAAAATTCAAAATAAAAATAAAATAAAATCCAAAATTAGAAAATAAAAGGATAGTCAAAGTAGGAATACAATTTTAAAATAACTGAAATTCGGAATTAAAAATATGGAATATTAAAAGAAGAGTCCATATAACAACCTAATACGAGATTAATTAAAATTGGGAATAAAAATAAAAATAAAATATAAAATTAGCAAAAAAAAGAGAAGAGTTTAAGTAGGAATACAATTTAAAATTAGCTGAAATTCGGAATTAAAAATAAGCAATATTGAAAGAAGAATCCATATAAGAACCCAATATGAGATTAATTAAAATTCAGAAAACAAATAATATAATATCAAAAATTAGAAAAACTAAAAGAGAGTTCAAGTAGGAATACAATTTTTAAACAACTGAAATTGAAAATAAAAATAAAAAATATTAAAAGAACACAATATGATATTAATTAAAATTTGAAAAAAAAAATAAATTCTGAAATTAGAAAAATAAAAATAAGATTTCAATTAAGAATACAATTTATAAATAACTAAAACTTGTGATAAAAATAAAGACTATTGAAAGAAAAGACCATCTAAAACATATGACGAGATAAATTAAGTAGCATGCCTGTAAAGGAGTAGAGTGGTGGCGGTTGATATGACATATAAAAATTGTTAATAAAACACCAAATAGAATCCTAATGATGATTAAAAAGATGGACGACAACCAGGCTGCGAAGCAAACGAGCAAGGCGGTTGTCGGGACTTCTAGAAAGTAAAAAAAATAAACCCAATTGATAATCATATTCGACTTTTAAAATCTCAATGACAATAAAAAGGAGAAGCAGCGGGCGGGGTGTATAGGAGTATAGTTGCAGAGCCACCGACAGTTGACGGGACTTCTAGAAAATAAAATATGAATTACAATGATAGTTATGTTTGTTTTTAGAATCACAATGACAATAAAGAGTAGGCGGCGGACGGGCCGTAGAGGAGCATAGTGGCATCGTTTGACGAAACTTCTGAAATTATAAAAAAATAAAACCCAACAAGATAATAAACTATAAAAACTACAATGTCCAATTTTTAAAGGTTCGTAACTTCTAAAAAATAAAAAAACAATGATAATCATGCTCGATTTTAAAATCTCAATGACAATAAAGAAAGGAGGCAGCGGACGAGCCGTAGAGAAGTACAATGGTAAAACCGCTGAAGGTTTGGCGGGACTTCTAAAAAGTAAAAATGAACCCAACGATAATCATGTTCGATTTTTAAAATCTCAATGACAGTAAAGAGAAAAGACAATGAACATGCTATAGAGGAGCATAATGGCAATGCTTGACGGGACGTCTACAAATTATAAAAACGAAACCCAACGTTACAATAAACTCTAAAAACTTAAGTTCCAATTTTTAAAGGTTACAAGGAGAATGAATTGAAATAGTGGTAGATCGAGCAAGCAAATAAAGAAGAAGATGACATAAGGGGTAGCAACTGATGTGACTTTTAAAAACTATATAATTAGAAACACGGGATGATAAGGTTTGGTCTTTCAAATTCTTAAGACAATGAGATAGCTATTTAATAAATTTTTAGTAAAATCATACTAAAAATATATGATTTGCTTGGGTGCTAGCCGCGCAATTGCGCGGGCCACCCACCTAGTTTTTATAATAGTAGAGATATACACTCCTCTCATTATAAAATTTTTCTCTCATTATAAAAGTTCTCATACTATAAATTTAGACACACGTACCCGTCTAAGGGCCCCTTTGAATTAGCAAAGGAATTTTAGAGGATTCATTTTCATAAGGATTTTTTCCTATAGAGCCCTTTGATTCATAGGAAGAGGATAGGAAAACTTCCATAGGATTGCATTCCTATGATCAATTCCATAGGAAAATAAGCAAGAGGTTAGACCTCTTGTGAAACTTTCCTTTGTTGAGTGTATCCTATGGTGTAATCAAAGGACTCTTCTCTTCATTTCTTGTGTTTTCAATTCCTATAGAATTAGAAAAACATACAACTTTAATTCCTACGTTTTTTCTATTCGTTTTTCCTATTCCGCGTTTCAAATGGACCCTAGGTTTAGTCCAAGGCAAACTAAAGCAAGTGAATAATATGCCGCCGGTTGCCGAGTCACATCTCGGGCAGCTCTCAGTCTCAGCTTCGAAGATCGATGGCGCCCTCGCGGCCGCGCGCGAGCAGGATGTCTCCGCCTCGCTCGCCCTGCTCCCCACACGCCGCACGCGCGCACGGCCTCCCCCCCATGCCGCGCTGCCTCTGCATAATTCAGGTTGATCCGTCCAAATTCCAAGCACCCCACCACCCAGCCATTGCCTCTGCATTTCTGCTGATATGCATGAATCTGGTCAAAGCATGCAAGCTAATTAAGCAGAATTAATCAGCTTCAGCTAGCTAGTGATCGAAACACGCGTGCTTCACTCACTCACTGACACTCTTGACTGACAGCCAGTCTGACAGCAAGCAAGCTACTACCTCCATTTGCTTCCAAACAACGCCACACCGACCGATCACCGGTAAGTACCTGATCATCAAGAACGTAATTAGCCTTGGGATAATGGAAGAAGCTCGCGGAAGCCATGCGCGCGTGCAGGCGATGCAGCGCGCAGGGCGCCGTCTGATCCGGGAGCGCTCTGACGCCGGCCTGACACCGGACGCATGTCAGAGAAGCATCGAACCTGCAAATTTACCTGAATTCTCTATTACTAGTATCTCATCATAATATTACAGCATCGATCTGCGTAATTACCACTACTTAATTCACACTTTTACCAGAGCCCCAGTAGCACCTCAGATCCTGGGTTCAACTTCTCATGGGAACGAATTTTTCAGGATTTAACAGTTTTGTGCTTTCAGTGGTAGACGATATACTCATCGACAGCGAGGTGCCTGTGCTGACTTGATCAATCTCCAGGATGGATTTACCGGCCTAGTCTTCGAAGATGCTCATAGGGGTAGGGTTCGCGTGCATGCGTTCTTAGGGGTGAGTGTGCGTGCGTTGTGAGTGTCTGTGTTGTACTGTGTAATTTAAAAATAATAATAATTTACACTTTTACAGCATGCTAGTAGTTACTAAACGTACGTGGCCGTCGTCGACTGATCAACCGAGAAGGCTTCAGATCTCTGGATTCAGAAATTTCACAGCCATGCTTTGACTGCATGTCTGCATCCGGGTGTAGTTATCATCTGGGACAAGAGGAAATTCAGGTTCTTGCTCCATTTGAGACAGCATTGGACAGGCCGGTCGATCGTGTTGGGACAGCTAGCGATGATGTTGAATTTAGTAAAATTAAATTTGTTCAGAGAAGCTACTAGCATTGGTGTGTGTTTTGCCCCGAGATCTCCTCTACCTAGCTTCTCCTTTTGAGATTGCTTAACTGATTATAAATTTATAATTAACTAATTAATAACTACTGCTTGCTTGATGGCCCCAAGAAATAGAGAAGAGAAAGCATTGGCATTGGCAGGCAGGCCTCTGTTCACGCATGTCAGATCGGTTTGACCTTTGCGCGAGAACCTGGCGCATGCTTTCCCCCTTTTTCTACGCTTCAACATGGACCGGGTTGTTAATTCAGGTGTCAAGGACAGGTTTTCAACCATTTTTACTCTCTGGACAACCACTTTCAATCCCACCAAATTTTGATAAGGCAACAAATCGAACATATTCTTATCATTGTTACCTTATCAAGTGAGGTAATTACGGAAGTTTTTGCTCTTAAAAACTCTACTAAAATCATTTGGCAACAATATACACCAAACACCACATCCAACGCTAAAAAAATTGACAACACTAAAATATGAGGCTTTAAAACGAAACACCACATCTAATGCTACCAACATAGCAACACTAAAATGTGCCAAAATTTTGGTAATGTTGAAACACCACATCTAATGCTACCAACATACCTTTGACTTTTCATGTAGCTAGTGAAAAACGATAATACGATTAAAACTAGGATTTTAACTATTTTAAAAAACAAAAACATTTCAGAGGGGGTGACATCCAACATTTTGGAAATTTTAGGGAAAAGTTGGGAAACTTTATTACTGAGTTTGAACAAATTTTCCTTTTTTTAAGGAAAAAAAAATTCAGCCAAAAGCACATCCTTACCAGTACCCAAAATTTCGGCTCAAAATTGTGAACCGAAATTAATATTGAAATATAGGCAAAACAAAAATTACATTTAGATGAACTATAGTTACAGACCCCTTTTTTCAGAGAAATTCTGTAGTTTCGAACCTGAACTCAACCTAACTATAGACGGTTAAACTATGGGACCGACAATAACAGTCACCTTTATATTTGTTTTGATATTTCCTTTCAAAAAAATATTTGTTTTGAAACAAGATCACAATTCTAAATCAAGTGATAAACAGACAAGACCATTTCATCCATTTTTTAAGGGATACAATCAAGTATAGAATCACTGGAGACCCCATGGAAATCTTACTTTAGAATTGTTCTTGAAAATATTGGCACATTATACCCACTGGTGATCTGTACCCCACTTAGCTCACTGATCACACCTGCTCAGTGCTGACCTGCCTGTAGGGTGTGCAATAGCTTACTCAACTCAACCAGAAAGGCAGAAAAAGCTCCATCTTTTCACTGCTTTCAGCAACATCTCTTTGCATGTTTTGTGCAACCCACATATCAAAACCACCAACAGAAAGAAAACAAAGTGAAATGCCAATCTTTTTTTCTAAGAAGCCAGTGGCACATTTGGCTACAAGTGTGTCAAGTAAAGAAATTGGCCTCTGTCTCCTGTCTGATTTACAGCCTCCCTTGGATTGATGAGCCAAAAATTCTCCTTTTTCTTCAGAGTTCATCAGAGTTGAGAGAGGGAGAAAGTGAATGAGGAAGGCCTCCATATTCTTCTTGGGATTGGGGTCCTTAACCTCTCACCAACCCCATGCTTGGCCTCCTCCTCACCTTGCTGGTATAAATAGCCCTAACTCTCCCCTCTTTCTCCCTCCACCTCCCTAAGCTGAAGCTTACAAGAACTAGCTGCTTCTTGTGCCTTCTTCCTTCATTTCAACTCTTCTTCAGCTACATGAGCACCTGAACTATACAAAGAAGTGAACAACTAGCTTAGCTAGCCACAGTTTCTTGCCAGCTTCTTGACATGAATTATTGCATGTTATTAGCTGTGCACCTGCAAAAGAAGATGGTCCTCTTTGTGGTCTTCCACAGCTTTCTTGAACTGCATCTTTGAGAGAGATTAGCATCCCTATGTGTGGATTTTGCTTGCACGAGTGTGCAGTTCAATAAAGCTGTGGGAAATTACAGAGAGAGGTCAATTGACAGCAAGGTTAGTTGGAGCTTTCACCAATTTTAGGATGTAGATGCAAGGTACCTACATATTTAGAAGGCAAGTACTATAGAAAGTTTATATGGTCATGGCTCTCCAACTCTATTATGTGACAAGATTTGGTTTCGTGCCTTCTTTTGAATGAAAAGCTTCAAATAGTTTTCTTACTATGTCTTGTTGGGTCCATTGTTTGGCATTTAACTTCTGATTATAGTTTCTCAGTTCTTCACCTTGTGTTCTTAACTGTTACTTATCCAATAAATGCAAGTAATCTGATTGCATCAACTTTATTTTTATTATGCCCTAGGAAATTATATATGAATTAGTTCGCAGCGAATCGACATGATGTCTGTAGGTGCATTCTTGTTTTCTTTTCTTTCCTTCTCTTGAGGTCTTGCCAAAATGTTAATGCATGTAATATGTATAGACTAGCTAGTTTCTTGTTTTTTTAGTTAATTAATTACTGGATAATATAATGCATGGACTAGCCACTTCTCTTAAGTTTTGATGTTACATCAGTATTTAAGATAACTAATAGATACTTTGCTGATATTCTCTACTTTATATATACTCCATACTGTTTCCCACTACTAATTTACATCAGTACATACTTTTGCAATAAAAGGGGGAAACAAAAGACTGCTTTCTGAAAATAAAACTGATGGATATGCTGACCATGGTGAAAGATGTTCCTCAGGGGTTGCAATGAGTAGATCTTTTGGTGGTGAAAGAGAAAAAAGGGTTTCTGCCAAAGATCATGAAACCTCAAATCATACCAGTCCTTTGCTTGGCCCTTTATTTGCTGTATGCAAGAGACAGGAGAGAGCCCAATTATACTGATATGCCTAGTGAGCAAGCAAAGGCACACTGAGATGATGGGACTTGTATTCCTGATCATGGAGATGCTGCCATTGCCATGGTTGCTGCTCATCACAGCCACTGGTGAGGTCAAGGAGGCTTCCTTAAATAGTCATGCACTGCATGCCATTGCCATTGATTGTTCTTTTCACTGCCTCTTCTGCATTGCTGTGCTCTGTGTGTGTTGTCTTGGGGCAACACTGCACTGACATTGGCCTCTTACCCCTGAACAGTCTGCATTTTTCTGAGCCATGGAGATCTCTGATGATGTGTGGGGGATGCATGTGTGTTCTTCAGTGATTCAGTGTGTGGATGCATCTTGTCACACCCCTGAACTAAGAGTACTGTAGCCATCCATGGAAAGAAAGGTGATGCAGAAACAAACTGGCAAGTGTCAATTCAGAGATGTGGCCACTTTGGAATTCAGGACCATATGGATAGCTGCTGCATATTGTGATCATTTTGGTTCAATTATTGCAGTAGGGAAATACACAATCAGTTTGATGTAGACATCCAGCGGATTGTGCTTACATGCATGAGGGCCCTGTTCTCATGCATGTACAGATTAGTATTTGGTTTCTTGTACTGATTAGTACTAATTTAACTAACTCTGAACAATTGCTTCAAGAAAGAAAAGTCTGAACATGCATGCATGGTGTGCACTCTTTCATGTGGTGTACTGGTCTTAGGTGTTTAGGAATTAGGACCCATGTAGTAAACCACGTGTTAATACTCCAGTAACAACTTGGGGTGTATATTTGCCTAATCATCCTATTAATTGGAGTAACAGTACATGGAAGTACACCAAAAGTGAGAATAAATTAAGGCATACTACTGAAGATTATTGTATATTTAAGCGTAGTATATACACTGGTCTTGATTCGTTACCAGGAATGTTAATTTGTATCTGTGCTTTCATTTCCTCCTGAAACAAACTCAAATAGTATCCAACAACATGCATGAAGAGTATATATGTTATTTATAGCAGAAGTTTTGTACACTTTATGTTTTAGTTTGTTCAGTCTTCTGAAACTATTCTACACTAGCATTGCAATGCTCTTGTTTCTTGAACTGACAACAGTAATCAGCCTGATTTCCCTTGTAGGCCTGAACTGTAAGGATGGATCCACAGGCCACATTTTATCAGATATACTACTTCCCTGCACACACTTTCATCTCTCATCTTTGTATATTCATACACATTTTTCTTTAAAAAGGGATATATAGAGAGAAACAATAGCATCATGAACTGAATAATGAAAACTGAAGGGCTCATGAGCACAAAAGTACAGAAGGACTTCTTCTAGCTTGTGCTTGCCCAAGTCACCATTGAATCATAATAACTTGGTTTAATCAGTAAACAGTACTAGTATTTGATGGAAGTATGAAACCCTAGTGTTTCTTCCACTGT